CCGATTGCACAAAAAAACCAAATTGGGAACACATATTATTAAAATTTAGCAACCCAACAACACATGGCTATTTAATATTTCGTTGAACGTGTTATTTATTTTTCGATGTCATACTATCCTACTTTGAAAAATTGAACACCTTTGCAATATCGTCGGCAATTTAGACTTTCGATAGGAAAAAAATTGATTATTCATTAATAATTTCGATTACGCGTTTTCTAGATAAACATTTTACTTGATAATGTTTTGAAAGTAGATATAATGTGTCAATCAATTTGGTTGGTAACTAAATTACCTTCCAAATTTTATTTTAATTGTTTTTAGATTTTGTTGATTCAGGCGAAAAATTCTTTCTGAAACTAATAATTGACATTAAAGGTATATAATAATAATAATTTATTCAATATTTTCACTATACATTACAATAACATAATATTAATTTTTAGCGGCAATAGATTGTAGAATTTTGAAACACAATTTTGCAGAAACTTAAGACTCAATATCTTTTGGCTCTTTGGTATAGTTACGTTTTTATTCGTTTTATTACGTGTATTATGTTGACGAGTTGTGAGTAATTTTGATTTTTTATTTTTGTACATGTAAACGCAAGTTGACAAAATATACAGTTGCTGAATATTAAAAATATTTTCGTTATATAATTGTTTTATGGGATAGAGTTTATTTTTGTTGAAGATAACCTTCAATAAATACATAATTTTGAATCACACTTTTGTCTTTGTCCCAGGAACTTTAACCTCAAACAGTATATCATTAGTGGTTGTGTTGATGTATTGTTTTTTTTTGTTCTAATAAATAAATATTCATGCAAAATCAATAAAATCATGTACAGGGTGTTTTTTTATATATCGTCATCCCACCTACAGGTAGATGAAAGGTGTAAATACAAAAGTTTTACAGTATTGGCTAAATTTTTAAAATCCATGGTCAAAAACAAAAATTGAATGTCAGAAATGTGAAATATTGCATGCTTTCAGCTTTTTTCAAATGGGATGCGCTATATTTGGTTATATATTCTTGAAGAACATAATTTCCCGATTCCGAAACTATATACATAGTTTGTCTATATTTGGTTGAGCCGTCTCCAACATATTTGGTTCTAAGAATTTTTAAAATACTATCAGAAAAACCAAATACCTCAAATTTTACCTGCAGCTTTCACCTGTACAGGTAAAATGGTTCACAAAATCAGTAGTAAGTAGGATAGTATTTTTACAATTTTTGGAGCCAAATATATGAGAGATTGCTCAATCAAATATAGATCGGGGCATTGTACTCTTCAAGAATATAGAACCAAATATAGGGCATCCCATTTGAAGAAAGCTGGAAACATGCTAAATTTCACATTTCTGACATTCAAATTTTGTTTCTGACCATGGTTTCTAAAAATTCAGCCAAAACTGTACAACTTTTGTATATACACCTTTCTTCTACCTGTGAAGGTAAAGGCTGTAGGTGGAGTATCAATATATAAAAAAACACCCTGTACAGGGTGGCCCATTTTCGATTTTTTAATAGGCCATACCGAAAACCAGCAGAGGTATCAAAAATCTGGGAGCACATTCTCGAGCTTTTTTTGAGAAAATAACAATGGCGAAGACAAATCACGGCTAACTTGATGCGTTTAGGAAATACAGGGCACTTTTCAAATTTTGTCCAATTTTAAAAGACTCTCTAATTTCCTTATTATTCAAGATATCCGAAAACGAAAAATACTTTCTATAGGCAGTTTTCAAGGAGAATCTAGTGGCATGACCAATTTTTCTCCAGATGCCTCTGATTTTGGAATATTGACCAAAGTTGTGTTTTTTTAAATGGGACACCCCGTATATTATTTTTTCATTGAATACCTCTTTGTGAGCTGATTTCGATCATATAAGGTTTTATACCTTTACCTTCAATAGGTTTGGAGAAAAAAAATAAATTTCGTTTTTTCCATAAGAAACAATGAGTTAGAAAGATAGAGTTGAACTATGAATCGGCTACAAATTTCTTAATTCTTAATTTAATTTTTCAGTTCAGTTAATAGGGCTGAATGACTCCTTAGTCAAAGTCAAAAAAAAAAAAAAAAAAAGTTCAGTTAATTTTTTTTAATTTGAACTATAAATTGGAGGTGATAAATGGGCAACACATAATTTATTTAATGACTTATCTCTCTCTAGCTCATTGTTTCTTATGGAAAAACGGAACTTTTTTTTTTTCTCCAAAACTATAGAAGGTAAAGGTATAAAATCCTATATCATTGAAATCAGCTCACAAAGAGCTATTCAATGGGTACATTCAGGCGGTCCCAGCGGCTAAGCTCAGCGACTCAGCAGGGACTTTATTCTCGAAACCAAGGAACAGCGTGCTCATAAGAACGATTGCTCTGTCATTGTCAGTGTTATGCCGGACGACAAAGACAGAAACTTCGTTCCAATGAGAGTGCTGCTCCCCTGTTTCGAGAATAAAGTTCCTGCTGAGTAGCTGAATTAAGCCGCTGGGACCGCCTGAATGTACTCAATGAAAAAATAATATACGGGGTGTCCCATTTAAAAAAACACAACTTTGCTCAATATTCCAAAAACAGAGGCATCAGGAGAAAAATTGGCTATGCCACTGGATTCTCCTTAAAAAACTGCTTATAGAAAGTATTTTTCGTTTTTGGATATCTTGAATAATAAGGAAATTAGAGAGTTTTTAAAAATTGGACAAAATTTAAAAAGTGCCCTGTATTTCCTAAACGCATCAAGTTAGCCGTGATTTGTCTTCACCATTGTTATTTTCTCAAAAAAAGAGCTCGAGAATGTGCTCCCAGATTTTTGATATCTCTGCTAGTTTTCGATATAGCCTATTAAAACATTGAAAATGGGCCACCCTGTATAAATAGGTGGATTATTGCGGAACTTATGGGTGGACCTCTGCGGGACGAGCGCAGCGAGTACCGCAGCCATCTAATCACCAATATACCTACTATTGAAATATTCAAGTAAGACATTCACCTGAAACGTGTAATTTTTAAATTAATGAGAATGACGCACATTCGAGTGAATCAGTTTAGTATCGTAATTAAACAACATATTGATGAATAGATGGCTGCGGAACTCGCTGCGCTCGTCCCGCAGAGGTCCACCCATAATTCCGCAACAATCCACTCGTTTGTACTTGAATAACATCACAATGTATTACTAGTTTGGTAAAGTAACATTATTAATTCCTGTTGAAAGGCGAATTGACAAAAAGTGGATAATCTTACAAATTCTGACTTTATATAATAAGTTATTTTTCAAGTGCAAATAAGTGGATTGTTGCGGAACTTATGGGTGGACCTCTACGGAACGAGCGGAGCGAATTCCGCAGCCATCTAATCACCAATATACTGTTGAACTGTTCAACTAAGACATTCACCTGAAACGTGTAACTTTTAAACTAATGAGAATAACGCACATTTGAGTGAGTCAGTTTAGTATCGTAATTAAACAACATATTCATGAATAGATGGCTGCGGGACAGCGCAGCGAATTCTGACTTGATATAAAAAGTTATTGCTCAAGTACAAATGAGTGGATTGTTGCAGAAGGTGGACCTCTGTGGGACGAGCGCAGCGAGTTCCGCAGCCATCTACTCACCAATATACTGTTGAACTATTCAAATAAGACACTCACCTAAAACTTGTAGTTTTCGAACTAATGAGAATAACTGACATTTGAGTGAGCCAGGTTCAATGAACTATAAACTACACGTACCTGGAATGGCCCGCCGATCTATAAATTTGCGGCAGATTGAGATGGAGTATGTGGGGTACACCCATCTCTATTTATCTTATTGGCGAATCATGGAAATCTTTCCTTGTCTAAAAAATATTTTATTCGAGGTTAGGAATATGCCAAACCTAACAGCAATGAACTGGAGAGAGAAAGGAATACCCCACTATGTAGCCTTTTTCGACGCACTAAGCGAGATGACAAATGCCATACAAATGCCATATCCGACAAAGGTCGGTGCCATTCCAGATACGTGTAGTTTATAGTTCATTGGTCAGGTTAGTATCGTACTTGAACAACGTATTAATGAATAGATGACTGCGGAACTCGCTGCGCTCGTCCCGCAGAGGTCCACCCATAAATTCCGGAACAATCCACCCGTTTGTACTTGAATAACTTGTCACATTATGTTACTAGTTTGGTAAAGTAACATTACTTATTCCTGTTGAAAGGCAAATTGACAAAAAGTGGATAATCTTACAAATTCTGATTTTACATAATAAGTTATTGCTAGAATTAAATGCAAATCTTGTAAACATACAGGATAAAATGAAAAAAATACATTAAGGCCCAATTAATTTCTTAATTAAGTCACAACAGTTCAACAATGAAAGGTCCTATAGGAATTGTGAATTTTAATTTTCTAAAAGCGGCGTTAAAATGGGTGCGGTCCCTTCCGAACGGCAAAAATTCGAGTGGCTAAATGAGTCCAGCTAGACAATCATTATTAAACAAGCCTCAAGATTTATTTCTTTATAGCTACCTTAAACACATTCGTTACTATATTAGTGCGTTTTAGCGTTCAATCATTAGAATAGGTAAAATTAACTAATTGGAATCCAAAAAATTATTAAAAACCTATATAAGAAAAATTAAATCTCTTTTGTCATTACATAACATACCCTTTTTTCTCCAGTTTTGAAATACTCCAGAAAATAAAAATATCGTTATGTACGTTTCTACCATACTAAAACTCTCTCTCAACATTTCTCTTGGTCTTTACATTATTTCAGGTCGTAATTTATGTTATTCAATATTCAAATATTTAATTTATGATGTTCAAAAGTTGTATCTCTCTTAGACTCGCTATACTTATATTGCTTCTTGCTTGTCCTTCTGCTCGCGTGGACAAGAACAAGTTCAACACACTCTTTGGAAATATAAATCTTTTTTTTTGTGTGACAAGTTTAAATTATTCAGAAGTCAATTATTATTAATCAAAAAAAAAATTTTTTTCAGGTAAAATCTTCGAGAACCTCTCATTAACTCCAACTCAGAAACCTCAAACGTCGCTGAGCGAACCTCCAACGCCACCTTCAACGCCTCTATCGCCAAAAAACGCTGCGGAATCAACGCGAAGCACGCCCTTCACTCAAACTACGGCCGCTAGTCATTTCGCCACCATGGGACTGAAACTACCTCAAACTCACACACCCTCCAGCTTGACTCACACCCCCACGACCAATTCCCATGTTCAAAATTTCCCGTTGAACTTGAATTTGAAAAAAGAGTTGGCTAATGGATTTGATGGAGGAGAGTTTTCGTTCGAGGAGGGTTTCAGGAGTAAGATTGAGGCCGAGAGTAGGTCTGAAGATGGAAGGCATACTACGGTAAGGATTTTTTTTTTTGTCTTTTCTATGATGCATATGTGTACTATGTTTTTATGGGTATGTTTTGTGATTAACCTATTTGCAAATGGTATTAGGTCCTTTGAATTAATCAAATCTAATTATTATTTTTGTGATTTTGAGTGTCATTAAAACAATCAAGATTATTCAACAACCCAGCAATACATTTATTGTTGTGAGCCCTTTCCTACGTGATCAACGGAGACCACCAACTTTCGACGGCAAAACATCCTGGTATATGTATAAACGCCAGCTTAAGACCACTACTAATGCAAATGAACGGGATGAACAGCCAAAAAACATCAACATTGATTCTAGCATTACTCGAAATTGTCCAGAATATTCCTGAGGCAAAACAAAGTGACTGATAGACGACAGTAGTGAAATCGAGAGATTGACCGAATGACGTATGACGTGAATGAAACATCTAGGATTCTACAACAAGCGAAACCTCCAAAGTACAATCTGACATACGAGGAAAGGAAAGCTATTCGCAGCCTGTATACAGACAAGAACATACACTCGTCAAAAAAGTCTAGGGAACAAGAAATATTCGTCTTTTAATTTTTAGACAGAATAACTTTTTTTTTAAAGATACCATATGGGTATTTGTTGAACAAATCTTGTAAGATTTATCATATCGGCTTTTCCAGCAGGCTTTAACAACATTTAAAAATCTTTTAAAAGTATATTTTATTCAATTTATAAATTTATTCAGTTGCATCTTGTTCCCTAGACTATTTTGATGTGTGTACTAATCCTGCCTGCGAATAAAGGAAACGCAACAGTAATCATGAACGTGACTATGAATCAAAATTTTCCGAACTTCTAGGCCCCTCCACCTACAGGAAGCTGAAGCGCTATCCCACTGCTTCTATATTGCGAAAAAACAATTTTTAGGTTATTTAATGTCATTTACGGACGCTTGGATTTGGAAATGGTAGAATATAAGGGCTTCCGAAGATGACGATCGATGACATTGAAGGAAGAGGTCATCGATACATTTACACCAGATATCCAAGTAGGGAGATGCGAAAAGGAGGAGCATGTACCAAATGGAAATGGAGTTGATGTATCTTTAGAGCTGGATGGATGGAGAATTCCAAAGAGAGTTGGAATTATTAGGAATTAGGATAAGAAAGTCAATGATTTACTGGAAAAAGAAGCTGATATCTTTATGCCAACTGGGCGAACCAATCATCGCATCGATAACAGGGAGTGTCAGACCTATTCGACAACCACCACATGAAGACTTTGACTTTAACACAAAAAATCTATTTGAGATATAAAACGATTTATGTGGAGTAAGTTGGGTATATTTTTGGAAACCTTCTTGCCTTATATAACAGGATTCGGAAACAAACTCGAATTAGTGTAGCTCACTATAAAACTCCTAAAGAACCAGACGACGAACTCTAACTAGATGGACAAGCGACATGAAGCACTACATGCAAAAGGAGCAAAATTTAAAAAAAAAGACTGGATAGGGGCACGAGGCAGTGGAAAATCATGACTGACAAGCCGACACAAATAATGCAGTTTCAATTGACTCACCAACGACTACTTATACCTCTTTACTCTATTGTAACTATCTAATGTAATTTTCTTCCTAGAGAACTTTATTCAGATTTTCCTATCTACTAACCCATTGTGTATAAACCTTTTGATAAGATTTTTGGTAAGTATTAACGGTAAGTACCTAACTGTAACAAAATAGCACCCGAACCAAAATAAATTAAACCTGCAATTACTTCGCATTATTTTTTCTTTTTCATATCGCTTTCCTAAATCTCGAAACAATTTTATTGTGTGTCAGGTTTTTTTACCATAATTAAAAACCGAACAAAAAAATGCTAATTTCAAGAAATACGTGTTTCTCACACTATACACTACCTAATTCGAGCTGTTTGTCTTTTTCTATAAAATTGCTCTGAGGAAAAATTGACGTAGAGCTTTTTAAGGTGGTTCTATCACAAAAACTCTCTCATAAAACTCATGAAACGAAACAAAAGAGCAAATTATCTCACGATTTACCTAAGTTATTTTTTTGCCTTGCAAAAACCTTGATTTACAAGAATTTACATCAGGCCGGTATTTAAAATTCGATTAAAGGTTTTTAAGAACTAGATTTAATGGGAAGATCATTAATATTATTCATTGTTTTTTTGCAGGGTATTTTCTCGGGAAATATTGCATTTCCTCACCTAAACAAGACTGATAGTTTGTCCCCTCCGCCTATGGAATCTCCTTTGAGTGGTAAGATTATTTTTCTATTTTTTTTTTATTACAAGCTCTTGGTATAATATTTTATTCTTCAGCAAAGGATGTCTTCTTTTAATTTTTGACTTTTTCCTTCAAGAATTCGAAATCATTCAGAAATAGCTTGAAAGCTAATAAAATCCTAAAATATTCCTAATGCTAGAAAACCTATAAAGCTGTTCTTACAAAATGACTTTATTGTCACTTTAATAGCATATTTCCATTGTCAAGAACACATTTTGCAGTGTTTAAAGTTTTACTGCGAACTTGTATTTTCTCGACAATCACATTAAGTTATCTTCTTAGAGGGTGTAATGTCAAATGGCGATCATTTTGATTTGGCTAAAATCGTCACTAATAATTAAACCTTTTTAAAGAACAATAAAAGTCCAAATTGATGTTTTTTTTTTAAGTACGTGAACCGAAAAGAGATGAGATGCGAGTGAAAAATTTAAATAATAAATTGAGAGTCGGTTTAAAGCGAATTAAATCAAATATGTCACAGGCAATTTAAGTCAATTTAAGCGGTTTTTGTGACGGTAGTAAAATACAGCATTCTTCTCTGGCTTTAATGAACTGTTATTTGGTTTAGTTAACGAAAAAAATCATTGTTTACTTTGTTATTGCTCGAATCCTTTTTGGTACTAATTTAAGTTAATGCCCGAATATTCAGACAATTAATATGTATTTGAAAATTGAATTTTTTATTCTTCAATACACGAAGTTGATTCATTGATGTGAAGGTAGTTTTGCTGAAAGTGAATTTTCCTTTAAAACCGTTTCTATGGTCCAAGAGCCAACATCGTATTAATTAACCCCTGATCGAGATAGATTTATTTCTTGTTAAACCTAATTGGATCATGAGCTGGCTAAAGATGGGTTTATACAGCCACATAACATAACATAAGAAATAACATAACATAAGATAAAAAGTTGACCTTATGGAAATTCCTTATGGCGTTTATACAGAAAATAACATAACATAACATAACATAAGAAATAAGAAAGTTGGTTAACTTTTAACTTTTATGTCTTATTTCATGTGAAAACGGATCTGCGCATGCTCCTCCCTTGATGTCCCCAATGGGCCCAATGGCAGAGTAGTAAAGTTTCCAACCAAAAAAAAATATTTTGATTTTGTTTTCCACTAATGCTAATTTTTTGGAATTCGATATTGATTTTCTGTTTCTGCTAAATTATTAATTAATTTTTTTTTGATCAAATATAGTGTTTCGGTAGAGTTTACATAAGTACACGTACCAGCTGATTGGTTAGAAATTATTTCTTATGTTATGTTATTTTCTGTATAAACGCCACGAAATTCTTATTTCTTATTCTTATATTATGTTATGTCTTATTTTATCTTATTTCTTATGTTATGTTATGTGCTGTATAAACCCACCTTAAGTTCGGTTTATTACAGCGCAGGGATAGAATACCTATATACGAGAATTTTGTTAGTTTGTTCTACCAGAGGGCTCTTGATGCATTTGATCCTTGACAAGCTCCAAAATCTCACTGCGAGAATCGATAGTTAATCCTGGCTAAATAAATATAAACAAACTTGAATACAAAAATTATATCCCCATAGAAAGTTGAGAATATAAGATACAATTCGCAGGATGTCTGGGAACAAGATTGACATCGATGGTATGCAATCATTAACGTTTTGCAGACTATGTTGTTATCATTGACAACACAGTTGAATTAAACTCATAGAAATAACCTAAAAGTTGCTAGTTCTTAGATTGTTTGTGCTGCAACTTTGACAAAGAAACATCGATTAATAGTAATTATTTCAGATTTAGCACGCAACGCACATTATTTTAGGATAAACGAACCTTTTATCGGGCATTAGCATTCTCCTGAAAACACAAGTGCACTATTAAATAACAAAAATTCCAAATATAAAGCGCACAGGATGTCTGGTTTACTACAAAATTAATCTTTTTTATTTCCCCAACTTGAGTCTGGCTGCTCTGTATATTGATGAGAAAACTCTGCGTCTTATGGAATCATAAAAGTTTAAATGCATACTGTGCGCCTTTTGATACTTATTTACTCACTATGGGTTTCTGGTTTTTGTTCTGTGCGTTAAGAGCGTGGTTAACTTTTAGATAACTAACCGATAAGATATCGATCGAAGAATTTTATTTTTCATTTTTCCTGGAGGAATTCGATAATATCTCTTTCTCTATTGGCGTCACCTCTCTATTGACAGCGAAGGAAGTAACGATCCCTATCTATTAAGAGTCCGAGCCCTGGTAATTTTACAATGTAATTTACGAAAATCGGTTTGACAATGCAAAAAAACGACTTATCAGAATTGGCTCAAATTTGTTATAAATATTCTTTGATTAAAGATTTAAGGAGTTATTTTTTTTCAATTTTTATCGTGGTTATTTTTATTTTTGGGAATTAATCCATAGCAAGGCCTTTTTCAAAAGATAGGCAACTAAAGAAACAGCGGGGTGCTGTTGTCCCCTTAAAGAAAACTTCTATGGAAATGGCTGAGATTCCTGAAGAAGTGAAACTAAATAAAATCAAATGGCTTGTTACTTCTTGAGATGAAAATGTTTTACATTATACACATTTTGCAAAATGCCAACAATAGCGGATAATTATCAAGATTACTCAAAGTTTATAATCCTTCGTTCCTAGCCGTTCTCTATCCTCTGAATTTAGGCCTCTCTTGGATTTTGCCAGGTATTTCTATTCTGGGTTACATGGATACCAGTCCAGTCCTACTCTTCGCTTGATGTCGTCGTACCAGTGTTGTTGAGGTCTGCCGATGCTTTTTCGTTCCCCAGGGTTTCCATATTGTTACTTTTCTGCTCCAGTTGTTGCTTGTGTTTCTTGCTACTACGTGGCCGGCCCAGTTCCATTTGAGGATGCGTATTCTATGTGTAATGTCTTCGACTTTTATTGTATTTCTTATCCACTTGTTGGTCTTGTGAACCCTTAGTGTAATTCCTATTATTCTACTTTTAATTGTTATCTGACATACTTCTAGCTTCAAGATTTTCTTTGTGAGAGATAGACTTGTAAAAGTTAAACTTTTTCACCTGTTGGTTTTCTATGGTTATTGTGTCCCTATCTGTTTGCATTTCTAATCCAATCTTCTTGGCTTCCGCCTACCCAGATCATTGGCTTCAACAAAATCAAGTCCTACAATTCCCACTTCTTTAACATCTTGTAGGAACAGTAACGGTATTAGAACAACATAGTCATTGGGATCTTCAGACATATACGTTAGTGGTCATGCATTCAAAACCGCCTCACAATTGCAGTACGGTCTGTAGCTCTTCCATATCAAGGCTTGTTTTTCCAAGTCTTCTACGTAATAAATCTTTCAACATCCTTATGAGTCGCTCCCACCCAGCTGTTGGAGGAATCATTCTCCATTCAATTTTCTGTACAGAACTACAGTTTTCAGCTACTTTTGACCAATCTATGTCTTCTAAAGCATTGACACATTCAACGAAATTCTTTGCAGGAGTATCAAACAATTTACCTTCTAAACGTTTATATAGTACATCCATTAATAACTGATTCAACAGTGCGTCTGCATCTGGTCTGCATTGCAGAATCCAATAGTTTTTCCGTAAAATGCTCATCAATCCTTGTACACCAACATGGTTGTTTATCTTAGTACGTATCCCGATTAACCTGTCTTCATCGATAAACGGACATAAAGGTGACAGTTTGGGGTCATTTTCGGACTGAAAACTTTCTTCTTGTATAAAACGAATGACAACTTCTCTTGACACTTTTAATTCCTTTGGTGTCAAAAACTTCTTGTTTTCGGTATTCTTCTTTCTGTAGGTATTGACAAATCGTAACATCCACGCAATCATGTTGACTATTTGGTTGAATATAGGTAATACGATGAAAAATTTTTGGTAACAATCAAAGAAGACATTACAGTCCTTATATTTTCCTTACCTACTTCTTCGTCGCACTCAAAATTTTGACTTGGCCACTCTGAAACTGAATTAAGTAACCATCGAGGTCCCTCCCACCATCTTCTTTCAGCTAGGGCTTTCGCAGAACAGCCTCTTGAAGGAAGATCCACTGGGTTCAATTGACCAGGAACATGGTACCAATCTTCAGGTTTGGTAACCTTTTTCATTTCTTCTGCACGATTCCATTGGTCTTCTCTCCTAATCGAAGATAAAAGCTGCATAAGCGTCGGCATTTGCATCATAGAAGACATGTAAAGACTGAGTAGTCGATTCTTTGAAATCTGTAGCTATCCATCGAGGAACTTTAACATAGGTCAAGTATGGCAAATCTTGTAGCCATTTCAAAAATATTTCTCGAATTTCTCCAGTGATCTCAACGTCCCATCTCAAATTCGAAGACCATGTCTTTTGGAGTAAAAGTTTTGGAATCAACGTAACTGGACACGAAAAGCCAATAGGATCAAACAACTTATGAGTTATGGATAAAATAATTCGTTTGGTTACCTGTCGTATATGGAGTTTATCAAAAAATTGTAGTGAAAAGTCCAAAGTGTCTAAATTTCTGTTCCAAACAAGTCCAAGAATGTTGCTTCTTTCTTCAACTTCAACATATCCTGATAAAGAATACTCCCACCATCTAAGTTTAAATTTACCATCAGCCAAAATTGACGTAGACTGTTCAATGAATTTGTTTAGAGCTTCTTTATCTGATACGCTTGCTAGAACGTTGTTGTCAACGTAAAAAGACTTCACTAATTTGGAAATAACATCACCACTGTAAATCACTTCTTCGCGTTCTGATTTGTTAAAAGTTTCCTTAAGGTAGTAGTCTATAGTTTTTCCTAATAGAAAATGACTGCATGGTACTCCAAATACCACTCGCGTATGTCTAAATATTTTTAAGTTTTGTCTTTATCATGCCACAGGAACTTTAACAAATTTCAATCACTTTCTTGTAAGCTGATCTGAAGAAATGCCTTTTTTATATCAGCAGTTACTTCAATCTTCCCTGTTCAAAAATGTTAAATCATG